AAATCATTAAAGCAAACATTAAAATAGCAACAATACCCTTATCACAAAGACAACACCAAACATCAACATACTGGCACAACACAGAGAAAAATATTCCATTTTGACAAATTGGAATCCATACATCGACGGCAACCACTGTAAAAGATAAAAAGCCAATAGGCTACTGTAATTGGTTTCACAGCAGATCAAAATTCGCATCAACAATTTTTTTTTTGTCTAGTTTGAAAAAAGTGTTGCCGCGTTCTTTTTTTGATCGGTGTTGATCACATCCTGAATTGATCTAAAAGGTATTGTCCGATTTTGTATCGTGTGTGTTTATTTTAATAGGTTCTTTAACTGTTTTAGTTGGACGGGCACGCACTTGTACGTCTTTTACCTTTGTCCTTAAGTTATGCCCGTCCTACAATTCCTTTGCATTTTGTCTGGCCGTTTGTTGTTGTTTGATGTCAGAGTGATAAAAAAATTTATTGATTTAATTTTTCAAGGTAGGCTAACTCGTCCAACACATTTTTCTGTAACCCCACCAAACTCCGGAGTTTTATTTAGTCGTGCACGAAATATTGTACACAAATAAACGAATATATTGATAATACAAAAATCAATTGAATACTGAAGCATAAAATATCTCGGAATTGACTCAAGGCCGCGAAAGACTACCAGAGTCATCGTGTCAACGGCACCGCGTTGATTTACCTCTTACTGTTTTCCATAGCGGTTTTTTTAAACATATTCGTTTAGCGTTTGTTATATCCGGATATGTAGCAGTACTTCATCTAGCACTTGTTTTCCATAATTCCAGAAAAACGCTCAAGTTACGATCTGCACCTGTTTGAAAACATCAGTCTACTCGGCACTCGCGTTCCGCTTCCGCCATCGAATCCCTAATCATCCTAATGTATGCCAGATAATGGCCAACTGGTCCCTCATTAAAAATATAATAAATAAAATCAATCAAAACCGGTATGCTGTAAATTACCTTAATTTGATGATATTTACGGAAGGAATTAGGTTTTATGAATTGTTTTATTTTAATTTTTATTAAATATAAAAATAATAAAATAAACAATTTCCGAGAGGATGCTGAGTCAATCTTCACCAGCTGGTCTTCTACAATAGTACCCAATAGGGAAAACTTTGATGCATTATGTGATGATTTTATCTTCAAAATCAAAAATCTTATTGACAAACATGCCCCTATGAAAATGCTATCTAGAAAAGACCTGAAAATTAAGAAAAAACCATGGTTAAGCGAGGGTATTCGAGTGTCAATCAAAAATAAAAATAAAATGCGCAATAAGTACTATTTGAAAGGTAACATGTCACAGCAGCATTTGTACAAGAGGTATTGCAACAAACTGAAAGGAATAATAAACAAAGCTAAACAACTTTATTATCATAATACGCTAAAGCAAAACCGAAACAATATAAAGCAAACATGGAGAACAATCAAAGAAATAGTAAATGTTAAGAATGACAAACAGAATACTATTACAGAAATTATGTTACAAAATAAAATTATTTCTTCTGACAAATTGCTGATAGCAAATGAGTTCAACAGCTATTTCACTAACATCGGTCCAAAATTAGCCAGTGAATTTAATGATGTTTCGGATTACAAAAAATATTTACATCTGAAGATCTCACAAACCATATTTCTTCAGCCTGTTTCACTCTCTGAAATTATATGTGGTATTTTAAGCCTGAAAAAGGGCAAAGCTGTTGGTCCTGATAACATTCCATCATGTTTCCTTCAGCATATTGTAGACATAATATCGCCGGCCCTTATGATTTTGTTCAATGCGTCAATACAGTTGGGTATGTACCCTTCAGTTTTCAAAATTGCTCGAGTAACACCGATTTTCAAATCTGGTGATAATAAATTAATATCTAACTACAGACCGATTTCTATCCTTTCTTGTTTAAACATGCTTTTTGAAAAACTAATATACGAAAGAATGGTAAAATTTATTACTAAACATAATATAATTAATAAGTCTCAATTTGGATTTAGGGACAACCACTCAACTAACCATGCTATTTTAGACATGATGTCATACATCTATGACAAATTAGAAAATAATGAGATTGTTTGTTCTGTTTTCATTGATTTAAAGAAAGCGTTTGATACAGTTGACCACAAAATTTTGCTTCATAAACTATTTAATTATGGATTTCGTGGACCCGCCCAATCACTTTTAAAGAGCTACCTAACAAACCGAGTACAATTTGTAAAAATTGGTGAAGTAACATCTGAGACTTTACCAATAGTTTGTGGCGTCCCACAAGGATCATGTTTAGGTCCAATCCTTTTCTTAACATATATCAATGATCTCACCAACTGCTCAAACTTATTAACGAAATTATTCGCCGACGACACCGGCCTTCTCTCCAGTCATAATTCAATTCCAACTTTAGAGAATAATGTGAACTATGAAATGATGAAGGTGCATGATTGGATGGTATCAAACAAACTGACAGTTAATATTGAAAAATCGAAATCCATGATAATCACTCCTCAAAAGCATCAGATAAACCATGACTTGTCAATAAAAATTGATGGTACCAAATTAGAAAATGTGTTATCATACAAATACCTGGGAATTTTTATTGATTCTGGTCTTAAATGGGACAAACATATTGAGCATGTGGTAAAAAAAATAACCAGAGCAGTTGGTATCACCTACAAGCTCAAACAATACATGCCTACATCTACCCTGCGCTCTGTGTATTTTTCACTTTTTCAATCTTATGTCCAGTATGGAATCGCAGCATGGGGAGCTGCTGCACAAAAATATTTAAGACAAATTAATGTTTTACAAAACCGAATTGCTAGATCTCTTTGCAATGCAGCACCTAGAACTAATATTAATCATCTTTATTCGTCACTCAACATTCTAAAATTAACAGACTTATTCAATTTTGAAATTGCAAAACTAATGCATCAACACCAAAATAAATCCCTACCCGAAGCATTCGATAAATATTTCACTAAGCAGTCTAAAACACACACACACTACACCCGATCTTCTGCGCGTGGAAATTATTTTGTGCCCAGATATTCCACTGCAAGAACACAAAACTCAATCAAGTATACGGGCATTAAAATATGGAACAATATTCCACATGAAGTAAAATCACATGGCTACACGACTTTCAAGAATACATATAAAAAATATTTAATCAAAAACTACCGGTACCGTTAGTCTTCATAAACTGTGGTTTTGCTGACAGCTGGACAGTGTCATACAGCACCATACCGGTACCGTGGTAACCTACCGGTACTGTCTTCTGTGTCATATAAACGATAGCGGTTCATTAGTTCGCTTCACTGTGTACCGTGATATAGCTTCCGAGTTATCTAATATGGTATTATCTTACTTACTCACATATTTTCAAATTTTCTGTCGCTATAAATCAGATTCTGAAGCGCGTGCGGTCGCTCAGCAACCTGAACAATTTTCCAGTTCGTTGACAAATGATTGCCCTCCGTAGCTAACCAACTGTAACTAAGATGTGGCTGGAGTCGCCTCCGATCTGGATATATGCGCCTAACATCGGCCTGGTGCCAAATTTTATTTTCTACCCTAAAAGTTTTATGTGGATGGTTGTACATTGAGTATGAATTGTGCCTTATAATTTGTACATAGAGGTTGCTTAATTTAATTTTTTCTCATCAAATAAAATGATCGCTCAATTTATTGTTGCATATGACAATATATAAAAATTTAATCGCTGCAATTGTACAAAAACACAGCTGAATGATATGGTGATTTATTTTTATAATTACTGTATATCAATTGAATTTTCCCGACTTTTGTTTTTACTTTCTCTCCCAAATCATATATAATGATTCATATCAACCTTGTTGGTTAATTTATGAATGGATAAGCTTTTCTTTGTGCATATTGCTTTCACTTATTTCAATTTTTTATTATTGACTCGTTTTTAATCTTGGTGTCGCAGACTTGTGATGACCATTCCTGGTCCTTCGCGACTTCCTGTCAATTGCGATGAAATCCGTTATTGTATTTGAAATGTACTGTAATAATGAATTTGTATTGTGATTTCTTGCACGACGAAATAAACTTATTGTCTATTGAATTGATCTAAAAGGTATTGCCCAATTTTGTATCGTGTGTTTTTATTTTAATGGGTTCTTCAACTGTTTTAGTTGGACGGGCACGCACTTGTACGTCTTTTACCTTTGTCCTTAAGTTATGCCCGTCCTTCAATTCCTTTGCATTTTGTCTGTCCGTTTGTTGTTGTTTGATGTCAGAGTGATAAAAAAATTTATTGATTTAATTTTTCAAGGTAGGCTAACTCGTCCAACACAATTTTCTGTAACCCCACCAAACTCCGAAGTTTTATTTAGTCGTGCACAAAATATTGTACACAATTAAACGAATATATTGATAATACAAAAATCAATTGAATACTGAAGCATAAAATATCTCGCAACTGACTCGAGGCCACGAAAGACTACCAGAGTCATCGTGTCAACGGCACCGCGTTGATTTACCTCTTACTGTTTTCCATAGCGGTTTTTCAAACATATTTGTTTAGCGTTTGTTATATCCGGATATGTAGCAGTACTTCATCTAGCACTTGTTTTCCATAATTCCAGAAAAACGCTCAAGTTACGATCTGCACCTGTTTGAAAACATCAGTCTACTCGGCACTCGCGTTCCGCTTCCGCCATCGAATCCCTAATCATCCTAATGTATGCCAGATAATGGCCAACTGGTCCTTCATTAAAAATATAATAAATAAAATCAATCAAAACCGGTATGCTGTAAATTACTTTAATTTAATGATATTTACGGAAGGAATTAGGTTTTATGAATTGTTTTATTTTAATTTTTATTAAATATAAAAATAATAAAATAAACAAAGTCAGCGTGCTGTCTCGTTGTTATGCATTGTTTCTGGCGTCACTGTCTTCTTTACGTGGCTTCCGTTTTTTACAGTCGTGGCTTTTAATAACAGGCATATTTGTTTTGTTACAATTATCATGCAATCTAGAATTAAGTATTCTATCCGACTTTCCTAATTAATGAGAGGAACTATACTAACGAAGTCCATGCTTCCGAAAACAAACAATACAGTAAAAACTAATCCCATACCCGACTTGGAATGGTACCGTAACCGGACGAGAGGTCGTGGTTCGCCATATGGATAAGGCGTCTTATCGGATTTCCTCTCCCCCGGGATAAATATGTAAATCCTATCCTAATCCTATCCTATCCTAACCAGGTGAAGGAGGATGTCAAGGACAACCGTAACCAGGTACGGTATCGGTGCCGATACGGCGCTAGACAAACCTAGTTCTGTAGTTAAAGAATTAGGTTGCAATAGAATGAATGAACCAGACTACCGTACCGTACAGCAATAAATTACTGAATTAGGTATGCAGGTATGGTCACTACTCCGCTTTGTGGCTTTATTGAATTGGTGCATACCGGTAATAAGCATATTGTAATAGTGTGGCACTGGCATTATAGCTGTAGTCTATAGACAGATAGAAATGATGAGTTAGCCAATGTGTCTCACCTGTCTGCCTGTCTTATGCCTTCACCCTGTCACCTGACTTTAAATTAGTGAAATTTCATTGACTGTTTTTAATGCAGTAAGAGCACACTTTTCTCTGCAACTTCAGAACTTACAGACTTATGGCCAACCCTAGATCAATGCAGCAATTGATTTCGAATTCCTAGTGCTGTAGTGGCATACTTGAAGTCTCAAAAAAGCCGTGCTTTTACGGTAAATTACGGTACAGCAATGTCAATCAACCATTTATTTTGATTGATTGACAGTACCGTACCGTAATATGGCTATATAGGCCTATAACGGTACCGGTACCGTATGTCTACCGTTATATCAGTAAACCTCTGGCTAAATGTTACAGAAATTGTACAGGGTCATATGAAGGTGAACCAATAAATCTAGTAAAATTTGGAATGAACGAAACTGAAAAATGGAAAACCACCAAAAGCAATGGCTTTTTTGAGACTTTAAGTAGGGTCACTACTCACTAGAATGTGCCCTCATTGTTTCAAGCATTGTTTTTTGTCATTTGTAAGGGCAGAAGGGCTCATGTTTTTTCATGGTACAGTAGTATATGTTCATTTTCTACACATTCTTTCAGAGCTGCCATGAGGCGTGACGTAGTCATATCTGAATATGTTACTTATAGTGTGCTGTATACGTCAACCATAATTTGTAACAAGTACGTCCTGACTTCACTTGGATTTCAATTCCCGACGATATTTCAAGCATGGCAGACTTTTATTGGATTATTTCTGATGCATGCAGTGGGAGGATTCAAAGTAAAACAAATGGTACTAAGAGACATCGGCCCATGGGTTCCAGCGATGATGTTGTATGTTGGAACTATTGTATCAGGGTCCATAGCCCTCAGTAAATTGCCTATCCCTATGTTTATACTAGGGCAAGGCTGTGGGGACGTTATTCTATTATTATTTAACGAGCATATGCCAAGTACAATAGCCATGTTCAGTTTTCCTGTTAAACTTGCCGCTGCAATCATCGCATCTTGGTCTGCGATACAACAATCATGGTATACAGCCCTCTTGTGGCTCATTGCACATGCAATATTTTCTGGAGCGTATCGTTCTGTATCTTTATGGTATTCAACGCCACATTGGCCATATTCTAATCTGACTATCCAACAAAGGCAATATTTGAATTATTTCTTCAGTACTTGTGTTCTGCTGCCCTTAATATTTGCATTTGGACATCATGAAAAAGCAAAATCTTTTCCGCATTTAAATGCGAGTAGATTTTACATAGGAAGTATATGTAGCGGTATCTTTGGATGGGCAGTTAATAAATTATGGATGCGATTATTTTTCCATGCAGCCTCGGATGCAAAAACTCATGCCACCCAACTTTTCTCTAAAGTTTTAATTTTACTCATATCGATGAATATATATCCTTATACTTTTTCGTGGAGTATATGGATTGGGATTTTGTTGAATTTAATTGCTGACGTCCTACAGATTCTTGATTCTAATTTTGATCAAGATCTTCCGACTGGCGAGGAGATGCACGACGTTTTAGTTTCGTTTTAACAAAGTTTTTAAATCTTTAATTTATGGTGCGAATCATTATATATATTTTGTCTTCTTCAAATCTTTTTCTGTCCAAATTTGCAATTTACAGTTCCACAAAGTTTAATTTCTTTAAATTTACACCTATATTGTTGTCGTCACATTTGAGGCTATGGAGTTAGGAAAAGTAATAGGATAGGATTTACATATTTATCCTGGGGGAGAGGAAAGCCGATAAGACGGCTTATCCATATGGCGAACCACGGCCTCTCGTTAACCAATGGGTTTAGCACCCGCATATAGATTGAACCCGCGAATAGACACATGGGTTCAAATGTACGTGGGTTCAAATGTACGGTCACCGAAACCTTCACCTCGAATCCAGCCCAAAAAGCAATAAATATATTCTAAACTTTGGACTACCCTGAGATTTACAAATCGGTTCATTCACATTAAGGATTTCTTATTCTCTTAGCTTCCCCATTTGAAAGTGGGTATCAATGATCCCTTTCGTAAGAGTAGAAATTCTGTACCACATTATCTCACATGGTACTAAGAGGTTATGCTGCAGTCATTTTGTACAAAAAATTATTGAGTGGAAAACAAATTATATAACATTGATAATGCTTGTCAATTTTTCAAATATATTTTATTTCAAAAGCTCTTCAAAATAATCTAACTGTATTCTGTATGTTTTTTTTAATGGTATGTCTGGTCTGCCTTGGTGAGGTCTGTTTCATCTTGACTGGTGAAACAGCGTTCCCCAACCTTTTTGCCATACTCAATTTTTTTGTGCTTTATTGATTGATGGGGAAGAATAAAATCAGATGGCATTAAAATATAACAGAACTGTTTTTGCTTGCCAACATGCAGTTTAGCTCCTATTATCAGAAGTATTTGCACCAAGATAGCGCACAACCTGAAAATAGTATGTGTATACCGGTTAGGATTCAGGCTGTGCGACATCTTAGTGTGCATATTGGGTGCTGGAGCACACATTTTTTTGTGCTTCATTGATTGATGGGGAAGAATAAAATCATATACCTGAACTGTTTTTGCACGCCAACATGCAGTTTAGCTCCTATTATTGCTAACCACATCTTTCCTAATCTGTATTTTTTTTTTATCACATGATTGGTGAGCATCAGATTTGAACTTGGCGTCACCACCATGGGCGTATCCAGGAATTTTGGAAGTGGGAATTCTGAAATTTCAAATTGCCAAGTTAGACTGTAACAGCTAGCCGGTTCGACTGGAAAATGATGCGGCTTTTCAAAAGTCTTGGGGTCTAAAAAGCGTTTTAAGCTATGAAAAAATGCAATGTATTATACAAAAAAATGTTTTACATTTTAAGAGGGAGGGAGGTTCCAACCCGCAACTCCCCTGCATACCACTATAGTTACATTAAGTATCTGCTCGCCAACATTCCATATTCTTGCAGTTCCGTATCGACAATGCAATAATATTGTGTAATCAATCATCATATTTGCAGTTATTTTTTGTTAGTAGAGATAAATAGATAGAAATATATATATTTTTGTTTTCTTTGTTCCACATCTATGTCAAAAGACTCTCTGTACATTGTATAAAAAGCCATTCTTTTAATTACCGTACATACTCGCAGATAGGTCGCAATTTTTTCCTTATATTTAAAAAAAAATATCGCTCGAAATAAGTGCAAATCGCCACCAAGTCTGAACAAAATTGAAAGTTTTCGGCTATTGCAAGTTGATTATTCATGAAAATCGTATGGTCTGCGCTTGCGTACATGCTCTTATTATCGTTCACAGGTGTCGATAAACATATTTTGATTATATTAAGCCATACAAAAAAAACAAAATAGGAAGTTATCTATGCAGAAAAGCTATGGAAAGGCCTTTCGAATCCCTAGAATTTCAGTGCGACTTATGTGCGAGTCAACTTTAAATTAAACTTTTTTAACGCAAAACTAATAGTGCGACCTATCGGCGAGTATATACGGTAACCTCATGATCAGTGGTCCTTGGTCTTTCATAGTAGAACATAGTTTTGCGATTATTGTGTTTCAAACAGTTATGTTTTGCTGTACGTTTGAAAATAAATAAACCAGCATATTAATAAATAAACAAAGAAATCATAGTTGATTTACTGGAATAAATGTAGCTATTGCTAATGAAATCTAGTGAAGGCATTTGCTTGTGGCATTTAGAAACCTAGCGGTCCTTTTGGGTTTTGTCCCATCCCTGGGATAAATATGAAATTGAACTTTAATAGGCCACTAATTGCAATACTAATTCAATCAAATCATCACTTAATTTGTCAATCATCTCATTCTTGAGGGTTTTATGTCCATAAAAATCCTCCGGATGTTTTTATGAACCCATCCATGGCCTCTGATTAGGAACCACTTTTTTGGACCTCCCGAAGTATGTGAGTAAGTACTTCAGGAGTACCCTTTTTTGTTTATGGTGCTTTATTCCAGATTCTCATAATATCGGTAAAATATTTGCAGTATATACATATTTTTTAAATGCATGTGGGATGCTGGTTTTAATTTAGTGAAGGTGTTTGGAAAGCTAATTGTCAGATTACTTCCATTCTGTAATTCTAGATTTTTGTTGTGGGAAATATTGTCTTAAAAATATCACTCAAGAAAGTCTGATATTGGGGGCTTCAACGCAAAAGGCTTTGAAAAGAAAGAATTCAACTCATGTAACTTTTTATTGAAATTGTTTGGTGAATATTGGGTACTTACTCATGTTGTAAGTGAACCAAGATGGCGAACACCGAAACGTCGTATCTGTACCAGGTTAGGCCATAATATCAGGTACAAATACTACAGAAGTCACTTGGCTAGTCCCCGAATTTGTAATAGAACTAAAATAAGGAAAATTGACCTTACGTACTATGTTCCACCATGTTGGTTCACATACTATGGGGACGGTATTTGGTGAATATTGTTTCTAACTCTGATTAGATACTAGGTTTATAGAGTCTCCTTTCACACTGAACTGCATTTTTTTTATCTTAATTATGTTTGTCCAATTGTGATAAAATAAACTACTGACTGACTCATCTATCTTCCTGTAATTTAAGCACTTCCAGATCATTTCTGTCCAGAATGAGCAGCCACCTTTTGTTTCCTTCATTTACCAATGCCATACTCCTTCCAAGTTGCCTGTTCAATATTTTTTTTACTAACCCACTGTCTGTGATGTGAACTTTTAATTTGGTTGAAAGAAGATTTATTGTAAATATATATATATTATGCAAAATACAATAATTGTTCCATTTTGTTGTCTCTTAACCAGTGTTCCCTCTAAGGTGTGCGCGCGCACACAGCTTTCAGAGGGTGCGCACACGCATAGATTTACTGCGCACAGACGTATTTCGATGTAATGTAACAATGTGCTCCGTTGGCAGATTGAGAAAGTCTGTTGTTGGCCCACTTATTACCCGGTTAGAACGCCTAAATTTCTTCATTGGTTTTTGTTATTTCCAAAAAAGTGCGCACATACCAAAATTTCTGCGCACACATACTACAAAAAATTAGAGGGAACATTGCTCTTAACCATGAATTGGAATATGCCGTGAGAAATACCAAGGCTTTGAGAATAGTTTGCCAGTTATTGATAAATCTAGTCCTTGAAGAAAAACGGACTAGAAAAAAAAATGAGGATTAGGGGCACTAATATCTAACAATATATGAAAAAGGCTTTCCACATACTTGCTTCGCTGTTGGAGTGATCAAACGTAGAATTTTATCCATCTCGGTCGGTTCGTCTGTGAGAAGGATTGAAAGTAAGCCAAAAGTTGTCGGATTATCAGTGAATTGCTCATGAATGGAGGAAAATAATAATCGCAAAATCGGTATAAAAAACGGACATTGAAAACTTCAATTGAGAGAGATAGCATGACCCCCAGGTTACACTCCTATGTATCCAGCAGTACAAGAAACAAATGATAGGCAATCCGGCCCATTTGGTAATTCAATCTGGCCCGCCTTATGCCGCCACAACCAAACTAAAGCCAAATTTTGATGTTTTAGCTAAAAAATAGCTCAAGGAATTTGTTGAGATTAAATTTAGTTTTGGCACGAGGCTTGTTGTTTTCCGCATTTGTTTTTGTAACACTGAATGTCGTTCATAAAATGTAACATTTTACGTTGGGGCCTAATAACCTTGCCTACCCCTGCTATAGTTCTCAAAATGTTCCAGGGCTCCGCGAGCTATTCCTTTACTTGTTAAAAACACTGAATTTGCTAACTAACCCTGGCTATGAATGCGTCTTCTTTATAAGTTTAGTCTAAAATGTACATGGTTGAGTAACTTTGCAACTACGTCTTGTGTAAATGTTAAACACAAACTACAATTGATTTAAAAAGCTTTTATCTGATCAGCGGAACACAAAGTGGGATCCTCGCAGCATGAAAGAGTAATTTATAAAGGTTCAGATGTGCGAAGCAGAAAAATCATACAAAAAATAGAAACCAGGTGCCCAACTTTTGATATGAAACATTCTATAGTTTCTTAACATGCAAACATTATACCAACAGATATGGTTTGAAAATATAATTAGGAATTGTAAGCTAGAACACACAGATCAATAGCGCAAACAACTTTTGGTTCAAAATATCCCATCTGTAAAATGAACTTGTAAGTCGACCTATAACATAAGCCAGGAGTGTGCAACAGGCCGCTCTGTGGATCACAACCCGAACGGCCAAGCCATTTGGTGTAGCTCTCAACAACACTTAGATTTCCCCCACCAACCATAAAATCCCAATCCGACAGCTCTTCATAACACAATGATTTCATGGACCAGGTGCTATTTTAGGCCAAATAATGTGCTCGTTTGAATAGATTGTTTATTCAGAAATTAGAATCAATCACATCTAAGTTATCACATGCCTAACTACTTCTAAATTGCTACAGCAGAATATAAAACTTTACGCTGATTTACAATATATAAAGCTAAAAGATTTTTGATTTTACATCAAGAAACAACTCCGCTTTTATCTGCTTTTTCTATCATGACCATCCTACTTTTTGTGCAGTAAATTGCAACAAATTAAACATACAAAAGAATTCAAAAATCATAAAAATGACTTTTTGTTCTCACTAAATACTAAAGTTATCCTATAATCTCACTAATACAAGAAAACAAAATGGTTACCGAGCAGCGACATACGATTAATTCTGGTACAATTTAGTCGGAAAAATTATGACAGAGTGGAGTTCTCTAACAAGTGACAGCAAGTTTTATCAAAAAAGTGACTTGCTTTGAAGTGAAGGTTTTGGATTTTCTGAGAACACCCCCCCCCCCCCCAAGGGGGCCACAGAGCAGGTACATTTCCTTTTACAAGAAAACTACTCATTTCAGTGCTTGATAAGTTTATTTCACTATGCATTTTCACTTTGTTGAGCATAACTTATTCGAACATAATGGGTTTTGGAATCTACAAATCATATTAACACTCTAAATACCACTGAAATGATAAACAGTGGGCCATCGGGAAAAAAAATCGGGAATTACTGGTGTATATCTTGAACCCACTTTATTCATCAGGACAATGTTTCTGCTTCCGTTGCAGCAAATTCAAACGTACCTGATTCAGAATCCACAAAATCATAAAAATTAAATCTTTTCTTTTTTTCATTACTGAATAACAAAATTATCCTAGAATCTCAATATTAATAACTGCAGTCTTAATAAGAGAATCTCTGGTCTTGTCTGAATCCTATTTTATCCAGGTTAGGGATGCAAGCAAACTTTATCATGGGAGGCGGCCCACACATGAGGATGATAGTGTCCTCTGCTGGAGGTGGAAGATGTTCCCGTATCATATCTTCACTGATGAAGCCGGAAGAATATTGCCAATCTAAAGAATTAAAAATGTTACTGATTTTTCTTATTTATATGATTATATGTTTATGCACAATTTGCAACTCATAAACGTATAAATACTAATTAATTATTAATTAGTAAATGCCCATAAACAAGATCTTAAATACAGAGAGCACATGGCTACTTCAAAGAGTCATGATCAGTCATCTTTAACTGATGACATCACAGGTCATGCTCAGCCATCTGTAAAAATCCTAGTTGCCAGAAATACAATAAATATACAGTTGACAATATGACCCAAACAAGGCTCTGCAAGAGCAGCTACTGCTAGACAAGGAGCCATTACATTTGGAATGGATCAGAATGTTTCTGGTTCGGCATTGGCTACTCAATTTATTCAACCCTGGGTGAGCACTTGGCGTTATTTTGCCTGGTTGATTCCGAATCCCGAATGTTCAAACAATTTACGCGCAACAAAGTCAGAACATCCTGTGAAATAACCTTATCAAGCAATTAAACCAGGAAGTATGGGACTTCTGGCCCCCATTCAACGGCTCCACAGGCCCCCGGTTGGAATCCACTGCACAAGGCTATGGACACCCTGTGTTACCATGTTTGTGTTCTTCATAAGAAATGACAGTAATCAAATAAAAGGGAATCTTAGCATTGGTGGGCCGCGAGCCTGTGGGAGTAAAATAGGGAATTCAATCAAGAAAAGTTCAAACCAAATCCTGTCATCCAATTATTTTGAATTCCAATACTTTTAATTAATATTCTAAATTGTCCACCTCCTTTTCATTATTGTGAGTGAATTTTGCCTTATCATCAATGAGTTACTCAGAATTTGTTGCTCCATGCTAGTAGCAAATAAGGCCCTCTATTTGTAACTTACCATCTTTTGGGTTGTCCAACGTGTACCATAATTTGAATCGATCAGGATAGGAAGCCACAAACTCTTCCAATTCTTCTCTGACTAGAATATCTTTCTCAGTCTGAAAAAATGAATATGATAACTTAGAATTGGGTATTCGTCTCAATTGCAAATGTTATGATTACAGGGATAAGGATAACCAAAACCTAATTTAACAAGAGGATACCTTAGAATTGGGTATTTGTCTCAATCCGAATGTTCTGGTGACAGGGATAAAGATAACCAAAACCTAATATAACAAAAGAGCTACGCTCAAATATATGGACATGTAGCGCCACCTAGTGGAAAATTCGGACGATGTGGACATGACACACAAAAAAACGAACCTCGTGCAGCGCACCGGAATATTTAAAATGAATAAAAGTAATAGCCTTCTAGCGAAAAATTTAATCTTCAAGCACTGAAAATTTTAAAGCGATTGGTCCAGTAATCAAAGAGAAGAGCGCCTTTGAAAAACGTGTCAAAGAACAAGAAGAAGGAGAGTGCCAGCATAAAGTGCAAAACGATCATTATGTCCACTGACGTGTCCAACTGTCCAATAATGTATTACATCTGATACACCACCGTTCCCCTGAGAAGGAAATTTACTAGGTATATAGGTTTAGTTTTACATACGTTATTAATGCTCATGTTATGATCTATTCAAACTGTGCAAAAGCCAGAGTGAGAATCGTGCATAACACTAGCTAAGGGTCCATTAAAAATTGAACAGAAAGTATTTATGCCTAGTAAGGTAGGAATGTAGCAAAAAATACCGAAACAAAAAATAAACATGATTTTGAATATTTAATCTGTTTTGGTTATCTTTGCTAATTGCCAAGTTAGAACACGAGAATAACGGTCGGAGACCGGAGCCTTATCGATCGAAACTGCGGTTTCGATTCATGAGTCTATAGTGACACCGCGTGTCCCATCACTAATTAATTAAAAAGTCGCTAATTATGCGACATAATTCATCCAAAATCAATAGGCTTCTGGTCCGAGATATGATGAATGCACAGGCAAAATTTGGAGCAGATTTAACCCCGCCTTCGTGAGATATCGCGTTCATCTAACAGACAAACAAACAGACAAGTAACGAGAATATCGGTCAGAGACCGAAGACTTATCGATCGAAAGTTAGGGGATCCCTCAAAACAGCGCTCTTACTCCATAGTGACACCTTGTGTCCCATTACTAATTAATTAATAACTCGCTTATTATACGACAAAATTCATCCAAAATCAATAGGCTTCTGGTACGACATATGATGAAAGCACATGCAAAATTTGGAGCAGATTCAATCTCGCTTTCGTGAAATATCGCGTTCATCTAACAGACAAACAAACAGACAAGTAACGAGAATATCGGTCAGAGACTGAAGACTTATCGATCGAAAGTTAGGGGATCACCCAAAACAGCGCTCTTACTCCATAGTGACACCTTTCAACTTCGCCTTCGTGAGATATCGCGTTCATCTAACAGACAAATATCTATCAACATACTTACCGATCTTAAGATCGATAAGTAATAACAGTCAGCGGGTCTGATCGAAGGCCAGAAAATGTAGGTTTTTAAGGGTCTTAAGGGTATAAAAAGCTAGATCACTATATCAATAATTGATTGATAACTCGCTAATTATACGACATAATTCGCCCAAAATCAATAGGCTTCTGGTCCGAGATAAGATGAATGCACATGCAAAATCTGGAGCAGATTCAATCTCGCTTTCGTGAGATATCGCGTGCATCTAACAGACAAACAGACATACATACAGACAGACAAATACCTATCAACATACTTAGCGATTAAAATCGATAAGTAAAAAAATAGATCACCATTTACTTGTTCGAGATGGTTCCATTACATTTGAACCCACGTACATTTGAACTCGTAATTTAAACCCACGACAATTGCACCTGCATACTATTGCACCTATGAAAATTGTTTTGATTTTATGGATATTTGAACCCATACTAACCCTAACCCATGGATTTTAACACCCTCATATAGATTGAACCAGCGGATATACAGGTGCAAAGGTATGAGTTCAAATGTACGTGAGTTCAAATGTGCTGTCACCGTTTAGGATGCATGGATGTTGCACAAAAATTGCATAAGCCTACCTGATTAGCAAACAGCAACCATAGCAAGCAGGAATCATCAGGATCTGTCAGACTTTGATGTACGATCTGTAACATTGGAGTAATTCCGGTTCCTCCTGCTATCATTCCAATCTGTAAGATAATGGACAAAAAATAAGACAGGAAAGGAAATTGAAGTTTCACATGGCAACATCATCATGAGGTGGAGAGCAAGTTCAACAAACTGAAGTCTTTTCCGGGGAGGAAAAATAGGAAGTATTACTTCAATGATCAATCACACATCAGGAGAAAGTATGTCTAATAGCATGCAGCGGAAAAAATATTATGTAATTCATTGCTGATGAGGCCAAATTTACTCACAGTACAATGCACAGTCATTTAGCGGGGGTGGGCAATTCAAAATAATTGAATGACAGGGTTTAGTTTGGACCTCTGCAGCACACTGCATCATTTATTGATTGAATGCCCCATTTACTCCGCAGGCTCTTTCGCAAAAAAATATTATGTGAGCAGTATGCAGAATGGACAATGAAGTTCAGATTGTGTGCGGGCATTACAAGGGACAACAGGTTGGCAAGGTCATCCAGGTTCAAAGTATAAATTGTAAGCAATCTGAAGATGGTATTGGCCAATGGCTAGCACACTAAGAGGCGTGTCTAAAAGGGGAGGGGTTCCATTGGAGGCAGCAAGCAGTAGGAGGCTATACATGTGAGTCTTTTGGTTAGTTTGATGATTTAAATAATAATAATACAAACATTTCACTACTACTCGGTCGTTATTTTATTCATTCTCTTGTATTACCACATCCATAATTATTTTTGAAGTTGGGTATAAGAGGCATCATTACCAGAAGTTCGCCCAGGTAGCAGAAGAGTTTGCCAAGTCCTTGAGCATACCTCATGCTAGTTGTGATATCTAGTGACTTGTTGCTCAACCTCATGCTAGTTGTGATATCTAGTGACTTGTTTTATTTTCAGTATAGTAGTTGATAAAAGCCTAGAAAAATGCCGAAATGAGATTTTCTTGACAGATTCCCTGCATTTGGAAAATTACTAACATAATAAATTTGTGAGTACAGGATGGAAACATTACAAGTAAATCAGAATCTTACTTTTCGAACACTTTTTTTCATCGGCTCCGACTTTTTATCAGGTTTGATGGAAAACAAACCAGGTTTTTCATAAATAAGAAGCCCATTCGGCCCTCGAACATCAATTGTATCCCCGATGCGGAGACTTTCCAAATATTGAGACATTTTTCCTCCTTCTGGGAACTTGGGGTGAACATCTTTGAAATAAACCTATATCCGAAAAAATTTAAAAAAAATTTATTATAAAGAGAATGAGCTCAGAGCAAGGTTATTGGCACTCGTTCGGAAGTAAGAAGGCTCTAAATCTCTAAGCAAAAATATCATCAGTGGGCACTATAACTGTTTCATATTATATTCCCATGCGATACTCGACACTAACTGGTAACCAGGTGAGAGGTTTCATGTGGCATACTGTATTGTGGCTCCCATTGTTTCATGACATGAGTGTTCTTGATTTTCAGCCTTGTCTACAAACATCGTCTATTCTCCAAGTTCAGGAAACAACACTATGGTTCGTGACAGGATTGAGTCTCCAATCTCCATATCATTGATGTTACCTAATTGCAGAAAAGTAATAAAATTACAATTAACATTACCTTGACAACAAGATCCATGTGTCCTTTATCTTTATCAGATGTCACCGGGGTGTATGGCCTAATTATCAGTTTTCCATTGATAACAGCTGATAAGTAGATATGCTGTCCGATAGGTAGACCAAGGATATGCTCTGATGATGGTAAAGTGAACACGAAACGCCTGTGGGAAGCGAATGGATTTTGTTATTTCGAGATCATGCAAGAAAGGGTGTCAGGTTCTTAGCCAGAGGGGGAAGGGGTTGAGGGTCAAAGCCAATCTTTTAAAATGAAAAAAAAAAAGATTTTTAAAGCATTTTTCTTCTGTACCATGCAGAGCCTTATTTCATAGCTTGAAAACCATTAAAACCCAGAATATCCCTTCTGACCGGCTAGCAAATACGATCTAACTTGGCAAGTATAAATCTCACCCCCCCCCCCCCCCCCTGATGATACTTCCTGGCTATGCACCTGAATACAAAGACGAATTAAGAATATATTCTGTATCAGAACCTATTTCAGCACAAATAGAAGCTTAAAATTAACGATATTTGTTAGTCAAATGTCTTTTTCGTCATGTAAATACCTTGTATCATGAGAAACAATTTCTTTATCAGCCAATCTAAGTGGATATTTGACATCAGGATCCAGAAGTGTTATCTTTGGTTGATTTTTTTTTCGTTGCCAAATGAAGTATGCAACAGCACAAACAACTGAAATCCCCAAAACTGAGAATCCTAGAAGACTCATCTGAATACAGAACATGGATCCAGTCAGGTAAAAATTTTGTCATTCATGGGCAGAAATTTTGCTTAGTATAAAAGTGTGAGTGCAACTTGAGCATAACACCAGGTAGGGATGAACAATTAAAGTAGTTTTTATGAGAAACTAGGAAGAAAAAAAGATTAAAAATGGTGAAGGGAGGAATTTAATGAAAGAGGTTGTTATTCACTGACATCAACGTTTGGTAAATAGGTTAATTTCTATATTTTTAAAGCCAAGTTATCCTAACTGGGAAGGAATTCCACCACTAAGAGGATTTTATTGTCTTACAGGAAGAATATCTACCTTGAATTTTGATGTAATATTCAGACATCAGGACATGGAATAATCAAAACAGCAAAAGAATTTATTAAAGGGCCTCACATTCACAAATGCATGATTGCAAAAATTGCATATCAGAACGATAACTGCAGATACAAATCTTTTTAATATGAGCTAATTTCCTACTTTGAACAATTACCGAATGCAAAACTGAAAAAAAAAGAAACCATTTCACTATTTATCTTGCTTAATAGGATATGATTTACATATTTATCCCGGGGGAGAGGAAAACCGATAAGACGGCTTATCCATATGGCGAACCACGGCCTCTCGTCCGGTTACCATTCCAAGTCGGGTATGGGATTAGTTTTTACTGTATTGTTTGTTTTCGGAAGCATGGACTTGGTGGTGGAGGAAGCCGTAACCGACCAGCGGTTACGTGAACCACCCAACGACGGCGAGGAGTCCAGCAATCCTCTCGCACATAACCATCCCTGCATGGGATTCGAACCTGCGAACCCACGCAGAGTAATTAGAGGTGCGGTGGCGAGCGTATTCCTAACGCCAGTAACGCTTAGCCCGTTGAGCCACACCGCCGCGCCTAATCAAGTAACTGGCAAAAGTCTACGGTATACCGGTACCAGCCATTTAAAATGTAATAGATATATCGCTCACCGTTGGAGAAGAAGGCTTCATACAGCAATCCTGATTAGATGTGTCGAAAAAACGAACACTCAGTAGGTCACGTTCGCATCAAGCAAATACAAGAAGCGCTGCAATGCAAACACCAACGAAGTTAACTGATCAAAATTCAAAATTGCAGTGCGGTGCGTCACTTTCTAATAAAATAAATAGATAAGATATCAATCTTTAATATTAGCCACTCTTTTATTTATTGTACAATGAATTTAATACCGGTACGAGTAATTGTGTGAAGAAAATGGATAAAGTCGTTGAAGAATGATCGTTGTGCAAAAGTAATGATAGGTTCGAAGGCGGTCTTACTACTTACTGAATACAGCGCGAAACACCGCAAAGAGCGCAAAACAGCGCGAAACAGCGCAAAAGAGCGCGAAACAGCGCAAAATAGCGCGAAACAGCGCAAAAGAGAGGAAAACAGCGCGAAACAGAAGGAAACCAGCGCAAAACAGAGGGAAACAGCGCAAAACAGGAGACGCAGTCATTACCATCTCCTGCCACGAAAGAACCACGGCGCCTCTCGCCATGGTTTTATGGCGCTATTTCCGGCATATTTACAAGGTTTTGTACCGGATTATAGGTCATCATGCGAAATTTTATCTACCTTTTTGGTGCTCCAGAAGTATGTGCAGCAATATGTCGCACAACCTGAATCCGCTACACACACACACACACATACTATTTTCAGGTTGTGCGCCATCTTGGTGCACATACTTCTGGAGGTCCCTTTTTACCTAACCCTAACCCTAAAGCCAACCATATCCATATGGAAAATGTTCTAAATTATGGTACCCAAAATGTGTTACCAGCAGGGGCAGACCTGCCATTACAGCATTACTGGCTACATACGTTGGTTTGTGTTTTTAATTTGCTGCCGTGGTACTCCAACTCAAAACAAGGTGCCCCGAACTCATTGCAAAATTTTTTTCTGCTTCACCCTGTTTCCCTCTGTTTTGCGCTCTTTCGCGCTGTTTCCGCACTGTTTTGCGCTGTTTCCCTCTGTTTTGCGCTGTTTCGCGCTGTTTTGCGCTCTTTGCGGTGTTTCGCGCTGTATTCAGTAAGTAGTAAGACCCCGAGTTCAGGTCGGGTCAATCTCGTCTTGAAGTTACTCAAGTATATCAGCGATTTATTTTATTTCTGGAAATTTTCAGGTTTCCTCTTGCTGTCCTGACTCTTTTGCGTGTGTTTTCACGTCGTTATGGTTTTTAGCCTGCTGATAAGTTTTGAATTTTAGAGATATAATTTTTTAATTTTGTGATTTGTTTCAAATCATAATGTATTGAATGATAGCTAGATAAGATGTTGTCTGACATTGATCAGGTGATGAACTTGCTGACCTGTAGGCCTACTGCTGTACCGGTACGGTACCGTACCGGTACTGCAGTACTGTGTCCATAAACAAACTTTCACACTTGCCGTCGTCTTGTGTTTTAGTTTCGCTGATAATAAGACAGTATTGTACGGTAATAAGTCAAAGGCTAGATAGATAAAGAATTACCGTAGATCTACTAGTCTATTTCACCAACTTTCAGTAAGTTTTCTTTTTAACTGTCTTTTGTTAATTAAGAAATGTGTAATGTCTGAATGTGTAAAGTTAAACATATAGCCTAATTGCATTTCTGACCGTCATATATTTTAAGAACACGGTTATTTTGAACACAACTCGTCAATGTATAAACAAAGCACTGCATCACAGCAATCAAACAGACAAAAACACGGTGATCGCAAATTAGTCAACAAAGATATTATCGACGTATTGGAAATGCGCACCCCCTTATTCCCCCTCCTTTAAATGTTGAAACGCGAAACTTTAAAGATGATTAAAAGAAACACAACTCTACCCACCTGCCAAGTTTCATCTTTTTATCTCTTATATTTGTATAGATTTTCAAGCTTTTTTGAAGGGACAATGACAAAAATGGTCCGTTTCTTTTCTTCGGGCAGGTTTTCGATCGTAACTTTTTTGTTTGTGGATGCATTTTAGTGTAATTTCGCAGAGCTACGAGGGATAAGTGGACGAAAGCGCGTGAGGAATATCGCCATGGTTCGTTAATTTTTTCGGTATTAAATTAATCAATGAAGTTGATGGCCGCAAATAGGTCGTGGCCGCAAAGTGGGTAAGCCACCCTATTGATGATAGTTGACATGAACCCATGATAATACTATAATACAATTCTGAGGTTGATAAGACATAGCAGGCTACTGCTGTGCTGACAGATTGAAACTAAAACTGCAGGATGTTGACCGAATTAGGTCAGTAAGCCTATTATTTTTTCATTTTACTTTAATCGCTTCAACTCCAGTAGCTCTGTGGTCTAACAGTTGAATCTAAACTATGTTGGTGTCCTATTTTATAGATCTCTGTATAAGTCTCTATTTCAGTATTTCCACCATTTTTTCAGAGTCTGTGAAAAGAACATTTGTTAATTTTAGTTTAAATAATATGGCTTCTTGATATTTGCTTCACAATTATTCCTGAATTGATGTCACTAACATCATTTATAAGAGATGCCGTTCCCACTCTTCAAGAAAAAGAAAAGCATCAACATCAGAGTATCCACTTTGGATGCGGATTTAGAATTTACGTAAGAAGCACAATATGGTACTCCAGAAGTATGCACACCAAGATGTCGCACAACCTGACCTGACCTAACCAGTACTCACATACTATGTTCAGGTTGTGCGCCATCTTGGTGCGCATACTTCTTGGGGTCCCACAATATTATTTTACTAATTATTCACCCTATCAATCATTTGGTTAAATTGTTGGTGTTGGAAAATTCGACTTTACTGGACAACTAACGAACCAAGCGATTCCAAATATTCAAAACTTAAAGATGGTAGCCGTTAGAACCTTAATGAAATTTATATTTTTTTCAAACTTACGAGTCATTTTGCTGCTTCATTTTAAATGATGCGGACATTTTTTAATAAAATATGAGAACACTTTATTTCATCATAAGATCATTATTGTCAGCTGTTTTATTTTGCAAACTTTGAATGCTAAGATTGCTTAGTAAATTTGAACTTTTTGAGTAAGTTGTAAAGTTTGTAACAATTTCGACTTATTTTATTACCATTGAATATCTGAACTTATCTCAATCCTATTGAAATATATTCTTTTAGGGTCTCAAATCAAGTGAAAGCTCAAGTTGTATTTGATTTGATATGTCGGACAATCGGTCTGAGAGAAACTTGGTATTTTGGTCTCGCATTTCATGATGTCAAGAAGAGGTTTACATGGATAAAACTTGACAAAAAGGTGACAAGAAGCTTTCTTTTTTTATCGAGATTGTTGAAGAAGAGCTACAATTCGGTACTCCCGAAGTATGTAAACCGGAACGTAGTATGTGTACCAGGTTTGGGGTTAGGATATAATTTCAGGTACAAATACCACAGGAGTCACTTGGCTATTCCCCGAACTCGTTGAAATAAACTTATTGTCTAACCCTAACCTGGTACACACACTACGTTTCAGTGTCTGCCATCTGGGTTCACATACTTGGGGAGTACTTACAATTCACTTTGAAGTGACAGCATTGACTTATTCCTCAACCACCATAGAAATTTTCACAATGAGAGAACATATAAATTATTATCATTTATATAAATTCACACAGATGAAATTTGATAGGTAAAGACGTAAAGTGTTTATTTTCATAAAGATCTATTTTTCGTTTAATGGATTGCAGCTAACTTTAAAATGATGTCTTCTGTGCCAAAATCCACTTTCAAAAATTGCCTCAATTGTTGAGAATTCACTGGGCAAAAACCGAATAAAAATAAGTCCATGTATCGATAACAAATAACTAGTTAATAAAAATTGCCATACTCCACATGGCATGGTAATCGAACGATAGTCCATGGTATATGGACGAGAGATTTTCAGAGATTTATTTTCTTAACATTTTCATGAGCGATATTATGACCAATCACTGTTTACTATTTGTTCGTCATTCGTTTACTAATTCATTCTTTATATTCAGCTTCTGAATCATGCAATTCCAAAACCAGTGAACGGCGACAAACTTGAGTTGAAGTTTCTCGCGAAGTTTTATCCTGAGTCAATGGAAGATGAACTTATACAAGAGGTCACGAGACACCTGTTCTTTCTGCAGGTAATATAGTGTTATTGGATACGACCTATGGATCGTTTTGATATTTTTGTTGTTATTCTTATGTATTTTTCATCAATATAAAATCACTTCTCTTCGAATACTGGACCAATTGCTTTAAAATTTTCAGTGGTTGAAAACTGATTTTTTTGTCAGAAAGCTATTACGGTACTTCCATTTATTTCAAATATACCGGTGAGCTGCATGGAATTCATTTTTTGTGTGCTATGATGTCATCCGAATTTGCCACTATGTGGCGCTACATGTCCATATATTTGAGCATAGCTCTTTTGTTTTGCTCTAATCATGGTTCTATTGCTTAATGCTATATTGTTTCACTTGATTGTGGAACATTTGCACTCGACTCTGACTCAAAATTCACTGCCATGTAAAAAAATTATTTTGGCTCTATCTCTTGGTTCTTTGTTGATAAATATTCATCTCCAACTTCTTTTTTAGCTTTTTATTTAATTAATTATATGACTATAGTTTAGTATTAATTAACTAATTAATATTATCAATTGTCCATTTATTAATCTATTAATACTATAAGGCTGAGCGAGCTAAGCTAAGACTTTTCATTGTGAGAATTTTTTAATTTCTTGTGTATATCGAAAAACTATTTTTTTTGTGTGGCTGTGCTAGATGGTTGGTTCTAGATATTCCATATTCATAAATATTTTAACATAACTAATATCGTCGTGTATCCAGTTTACCACTCTGTTTAGATACTTCCCCGTTCAGCATATCCTTTCTAATTTATTTTTCTAATGTTGGACTATATTTACAGATTCAGCATTTAATATTGTCTGAAGATCTTTACTGCCCTCCAGAGGCATCCGTACTGCTTGCCTCGTTCGCTGTTCAAGCAAAGGTGCGTGTTTTCATTGATTTATTGATAGATTTTGTATTTTGTTGCATCGGTGAACAAATATTCTCAATTTGGCATAGGATAGGATAAGTTGGTTTTGATCAGGATTTCTCAAATTTTCGATTTCACTGAGCCCATGAAGAGGTTGACTCTTATTTATGGAGCCCACAATATATTTATTAAAATAAACACAAACAAAAAATACATTGTTATTCTTTGAATCATATTTTTGAGAAACTTATGAATAAAGTCATATTTAAACATCCGCATTGATGCCAAATTTCAACGCTACCGTTGTCAAATTTTATTGATGCCGTTTTCGCTTCTTTGAATAGTTATTAACGTTAGCCAAAAGTCTCACGGAACCCCGGGCTTCGTTTGCAGCACTTTGAGAAAGTCCCATCTCTCTGCAAACCTTTCAGAGAGAGATGAGACAATAACTTAACCTAACCTAAGATAAACGAAACCAAGGAAAATATCAGATAACAGAATAGTATCTCATAATTTGGTTTCAAATTCAAGACAGTCAATAGCGTGTATCGAAATTTCCAAGTCTTTGTTTCCACTTCCACAGTGTACTAGAAGTAAGTAATGTTTGATGAATTCAATATGTCATGCTATACAGGGGTTTGAGTCATTTGACTCAGGAATGCCCAAAATGGATATTCAAATAGTACATGATTGACCTTTTTCAATACAGTATGGTGATTATGATCCTGAAATCCATGCGCCAGGGTTCGTTGAGATTCAGGAATTATTACCAAAACGTGTCATTGACCAATTTCAAATGTCTAAGACGATGTGGGAGGAGAAAATAACTTCATGGTAAGTTTTTAACTTCAAATTTTTTTGTTTTGAATTTATTGTGGGTGCAATTGCCTCCACTCCGTTCTCATTTCGAGCTTGCAACACATAGCATGATACAAAATTGTACATCAACTATTATAACACGGTCGAATGTTTGATATTGCCAGTTACACTTTTCTCCTTTCTCTCAATGTTAATTTTAGAAAATTTATTTAAATGTGGCCGGGTAAAAAAGAAATTTTATATATCATAATTGTATCGCTAGGAATTTATATTTCATGACATACTCCGACCCTCAAAACGACCCCTGGCTATACTGTGTATGAAGCCGGTATGTTCGAAAAAAAAATGTAGTTTTTAGTCATAATAAAACGTGTATGATTATTCCTAATTCCCATGGACAGAAGTGAAATACTTTATTAAAAAAATGGGGCTCCCGAAGTATGCGAACCAAGATGGCGGACATCGGAATGTAATATGTGTACTAGGTTAGGGTTAGGCCATAATTTTAGGTATAAATACTACGGGAGGCTCTTGGCTAGTCTTCGAACTGATAATAGGACTAAAATAAGGAAAATTGGAAAAAAATTATCGCCTAACCCTAACCTGTTACCCATGTTACGTTCCGATGTCCGCCATCTTGGTTCGCATACTTCGGGAGCACCAAAAAAATGTACAACAGATTCGCAAAACTTTATTTTCGACCCTTATTAGTGATGTCCGAACTAGTTTTCTCCTAATCACAGGTACACGGAACATAGAGGTTTGACACGAGATGAAGCTGAACTGGAATATTTGAAAATAGCTCAGGATCTTGAGATGTGTGGGGTTTCATATTTCAGTATAAAGGTTGGATTTCTTATTTTACAGTAACGATAAAATCTGTTATAGATGCTGAATAATATTTGAAAACTATTTTATATGTTCTAAATTGCAAAAAATGCAAAATTTTCTGTTATGCTAAGTCACTATCGATACTTGAGGATGAAAACAAATAATTACGTCACAATTTGCTCATGAATTTATTGCCATGCCCACAGAGATCTCAAAATATACGCTGGGATTTGTGCACGATGTCCGGTTTTCTTATAAACACTAAAAACTATATTTGAATAATAATTTCGTTTTGGACATTCCTGGTGGCCGCTTGTACCGAGCATTTTCTCTAATGAAATTTATATCAAACATAACAAAGAAAATATATATTTTTTTAGAATCGCAAAGGAACATCACTATGGCTTGGAATAAATGCTGTATCCGTATCAGTATACGAAAAAGAAAACCAACTGCACCCCATCGTATCGTTTCAATGGAGCGAGTTATCGGACATGTTATTTAACGATAATAAGTTCACAATAAAACAGAATCCATCTTCTCGTTCCGCAACGCTTCGTCGAACGCAGTCTACCAGTGCGGAAGAGTCATCACCCGCTGATATGATCGATATGAACAAAAATGATTTCATTTTTTTCACTGATGAACCGGGGATAAATAAATTGGTGAGTTGCATGTGTTCCAGTAATTTTATTGCGAGGAAAAAAAAACGTGCAGGGTAATCAGATTCAGAGGTGCGGTGGCGAGCCTATTTCTAACGCTTAGCATGATTCGCCACAACGGCGAGCCGATTATAAATCATTTTGAATGCGAGAGAGAGAGATAATAATTTTTTTCAAGTATATCAAAAATGTACAGATTACAATGGATACAAAAAGCAATCATGAAATAAAATCAGGGGGGCCGGCAAGACTACAAGGTCAACGATGTCGTCCGACCCCTAAAAAAAATTGGTGCTCCAGAAGTATGCACACCAAGATGTCGCACAACCTAAATCCAACCCGATACACACATACTATGTTCAGGTTGTGCGCCATATTGGTGCGCATATTTCTGGAGGTTCTACTGTAATATAAAAATGTGGATTATTCTAGTATAGTCAACAGAAACTTAAGTAAACCTCTGATCAGAAGTCCAATTTTATGCATTCGGATGTTTGATTCATTTTTAAACATTCTTTCTATACAAAAAGTAATTTACCGGTACTTCTTTTTACATTTCAAGATCTTAGAACTCTGCAGAGGAAACCATGATCTTTTCATGCAGAGACGTAAAGTTGACAGCATGGAGATTCAACAGATGAAGAGCCAGGCACAAGAAGAAAAAGCAAGAAAACAGGTCAGTTTTTTCTTATACAGGTTTATTCAAACCAAGCTTAGGGGTTTAGGGGTTTATGCCAGGGGTATCCAACCTTTGTCCCACAAGGCGAAATTGTATACTTTGAGGAGAAGCGCCAGTTTTAAATGGTGTTCATTTAGTTCTTTGTATCTGGCCCTCTTGTATGAAAGGTTGTACATTCCTGGTTTAGGCATTAGACTTGACCGTGGTGGAACTGCAGGGTAAAATCTTGGGTATAAATCCTATTCCAACCACCTAAGGTGTAATAAACAGGGCAATGTTGAAAGGGTAATATTCCATTCTTACATATTAGTTGCATCTTGTGAAGTGCATAGTTTAGAGCACTCATAATCACTTCACACAAGTAAAATAATCCTTGTGCTTAAGAATCACATGTTTCTCTTGAGAGTTTAGTAGAGGCTGCTATAGCTAATCCGTCCTAATTGCAATCGTTAGGAATGCTTAATTATTTAAATCCCACCACAAGTTTAATTGTCTCATTATTTTTATTATTGGATAATTGTATCCTATTAGTGTGAGAGATTAGGTATATTTGTGTTGGGAAATGAATTGAGTTACCCTTAGAGAGAGAGATTTTATTTTTTGTCAACCAAAATAAAAGAACAATTATCGTAGTAAGTAATTAAATATAATAACACATGATGATTCAGTTTGGTATAAACAGGCGGGAGTGGTACGACCGGACGGTCTTCAAAGTCAACTCCCCCCTTATTACTTATCGATTTTAATCGGTAAGTATGTTGATAGGTATTTGTCTGTCTGTTTGTCTGTTAGATGCACGCGATATCTCATGAAAGCGAGATTGAATCTGCTCCAAATTTCGCATGTGCATTCATCTTATCTCGGACCAGAAGTCTATTGATTTTGGGCAAATTATGTCGTATAATTAGCGAGTTATTAATTAACTAGTGATGGGACACAAGGTGTCACTATGGAGTAAGAGCGCTGTTTTGCGGGATCCCCGAACTTTCGATCGATAAGTCTTCGGTCTCTGACCGATATTCTCTTTATTATGTTTAAGATTTAAAATTTCAGATGACTGGATGTTAAGATATAACATTTTAGAATTTGAATTGTTTGAACATAATGGGATTTGGAATCTACCAATCGAAATAACACAATGAATACCGCTGGAGTTATAAACAGGGGGGCACGCACCATTAAAGGTTGGAAACCACTGATCTCACATTTCTGGTGCTTTTATTTTCTAGATGGAAAGAGCGAGACTTCTCAGGGAAAAAGATGAACGGGAGAAAATACTCATGGAAAAGGAAGAATTGGAAAGAAAGTTAGTTTTTTATGATTGACATTGAAAAAAAAAACATGATGGTTTCAGTAATTATAATCATTAGCTTGATGTAACTATCAGTAGAGGTGCGCCTCCCAATTTTACCTCAATGTTATTGCGCTAGTGGATCCGTATGAGTATAATTCAAGGATGCTATAGCAGGAATTGTTGTAATTTGCTCGTCTCGAGAGCGGGTGTCTTCACCACTTCATACCACCTCAAATAAACTTCTACACCCCCATGTGGGACCCGCCCCACCGTTCGAAAATCATTGGTTTAAATAATAATATCTAATAACAATCAACCATTTAACCATAAATAGCCTAGCATAAGGTCATATCAAGACAATTGTTTTAAGCAAAATCAAAAATATCGCATTTATTTTAAAACGTCTTCTTTCATTCAAAGGCTGAAAGAAATGCAAGATGAGAGTAAAGCTGCTCTAGATGCTTTGGTAAGAATTATCACTGAATATATATTTCTTTTTATAAAGATGTTGAAATAAACAATAAATTTGAGAAGAATTGATTGTTCTCGTTCTTTGAGATTGAATGGTGCTAGGAAATAGCCACCCATAAAATTTCTCATGTTCATTCTCAGACAGACAGACAAATTCCTATCAACATACTTACCGATCTAAAGATCGATAAGTAATAAGGAAAATCGGAATAAAATTATGGCCTAACCCTAACCTGGTACACATACTACGGGAGTGTGTTCAGTGTGATCGTGTTGAAAAATAGTTGAATATTTGATCCATTCTAAATATCCCGGATTATATCATCATTTCCTATCATTTTAGAGTCGTTCAGAAGAAACTGCAGAATTATTGGCAGAAAAAGCAAAGGTAGCAGAAGAGGAAGCAATGCTGCTAAAAAGAAAAGCCAATCATTCGGAACAAGAAATGCAGAGGGTTAAAACAGAGTTTGCAAAGGTGAGCAGACTCATGATTCAAATTTGATCAGTTTACAAGGATCTTGGGTCAAAAATTCAAGTGTGCCACTGTACTAGGGCTATGAACTAGATAGGTATTGCATATTTTTGCTTCATTGAATTCATTCATTTTACTTTTGAATGAACACACAGGTTATTGTTTGACAAGTATTTACAGGCTACAGATGTGGCTCATCGTGCTAAGCTCTCGGGAAACACTTGCCATCGTACCTCTGATTACCCTGTGTAGGTTCGCAGGTATAGTTATGTGTAAGAGGGTTTCTTGAATCCTCGCCGCCATAGGGTGGCTTGCGTTACTGATGGTCGATTATGGCTTCCTCCACCATCAAGTCAATGCTTCCGAAAAACAAATAACTGGCTAACTAATCCCATACTTGACATGGACTGGTAACCGGACGAGAGTCGCCACATGATTAGGCTGTCTTGCCGGCTTTGCCTCCCCCAGGATAATATGTAAGTCGAATCCTAATTCTATTCCAGATTCTAATGCTGTATGTTGGTGCATAAACGCTAAGCTATGAGCCAAACCGAGTCAATTGGCTATACAAGGTTTCTATTCAGACACAAATCCTTGAATAGACGTTCACTTCTATATGTTGGAATTTTATCAGACTCGTACTTGAGGTTTTTTAAAGTTTTATGATATTTGTCATTTAATAAACGTAATCACCATTGAATTTCTGTCTTCAGACCCAAGAAGCAAATATTCAACTCCAACAGAAACTTCAAAATTATGATTTGATGACACATCAGTTGAGAGAGGAGTCTCGGTCAAAGTAAGCAATTTTAAACATTTTCACCTGTTTTTTCCAATCATATATTTTAATGTGGCACGGCTGCTGCGTATGCAATTTAGAATACATAGTGAAGTCACCATGAAATCTATTTTGGTACTCCCATGGTGTGTGTACCAATTTATGGTTAGGCCATAATTTTATTCCGATTTTCCTCATTTTAGTTCTATTATTGGGCCTGTCTGTGTTAGGCAAGTCCATGGGTTTCAGTCTCTTTACACAACTTGATGTAAAGTAGACGAACAAAATTAGTCACCTCCATATTGGTATACACATTTCTGGAGCGCCAATATTTTTTCATATCCCCTCTGGCTACAAGTCTGTTGTTTTACTTTGAATTTTTCTGAATCAAATGGAGGATGATTAAGACTTGATGTGACGACCAGTGATGGGTAGGAGTCCCTAATCCTCGAATCAAGTGGAGTCCTGGATCAAGTAGGTTAAGTCTCACTTGCACCTACTTGATGGCAATTCTGAGTGATTCCAGTTGGATGACTCGACTTTTTGAAGATTTGATAAACCTTGTGACCTTGAGTAAAGTTAATGTCTCCTCCCCAACTCTGCAAATAAACAAAATCTTAATCCAAATCTTGAGGTAATCACTGGGTTAAATCACACTGCCGATAAGTTGACGAGTTTCAGTCTCTCCATAGCGTTTTTATGGTGACCTGAGTCCAACTTTAGTGAAGTCAATGACTCGAGCGTCCCCAGCACTACTATTTGAAATCTTATGCGAACAGTGTATGAAATGTACACAAGCAGTGCCAGGTGTATGTGCCTAAACACCAAGTCGCAAATCACGGGCCATCGAAGTCTGATTCAAAAGTCGAGTCCATCACCCACTGCCTATAAGTTGAGGACGAATTTGAATCATTTCATGGTGTTTAATAAATAGGGGATCGAGTCAAGTCGATGTTCCGAGCCTCCACCCAACACTAATTACAAACTACTTTCAGATCCTCAGAAGCTGACAATCTCCGTGACGAATTGAGGAAAGCTAAGCAAGCGCAAGCTGATGCCAAAGAGAAGTTGTCGCAAATCGCAAATTCATCTGTGAGTAGATAATATACGAAACTCATCTCATCAGATCAGCAGTTAGTCTAAATCTGACATGGAAAGGGCCAAATCCGAACCATTGGGTGATTCGATCTGACCCTGATGCTGCCATAAATTTTTGCTTTTAAATCAATTCTGCTACACTTTCTGTTCATAAAATGTAACTTTTTATGTCACATTCACACTTACATCAGTCTAGGTGAGCGAAACTTAATGCACCAAGATGGCTGAATCCTAGCCTGGTACACATACTATGTTCAGGTTGTGTGGCATCTTGGTGCTTATACTACGGGAGCACCATTGTTACATCTGGATTAGAAAAGTGGTTTAGGGTTTAAACCAGCAAAAACTAAACTAAAGTTTTATCCAACATGCTAACCTAATTAAAACTCCCAAACTTATTACTTATCGATTTTAATCTGTCTGTAAGTATGTTGATAGGTATTTGTCTGTTTGTCTGTCTGTCTGTTGGATGCACGCGATATCTCACAAAAGCGAGATTGAATCTGCTCCAGATTTTGCATGTGCATTCTTCATATGTCGAACCAGAAGCCTATTAATTTTGGATGAATTATGTCGTATAATTAGCGAGTTATTAATTAATTAGTGATGGGACACAAGGTGTCACTATGGAGTAAGAGCGCTGTTTTGTGTGATCCTATAACTTTCGATCGATTAGTCTTCGGTCCCTGACCGATATTCTCGTTTTACAAATTTTAAGCATTGCGGGCATAGTTGGGTTTAACATCCAGACAACTAGATACATAATCGTAGCTTCATTAAACATCCCAAACTTCTTTTACAGCACACCAGTACCCAGGAAAGCAACGGGACAACGTACATGTACACAGCAGGAGGGCCTTTGATGACATCGACGCCAGCACCAGGAACTCACACCCATAACGGCTCAAACTCAAACAGCACTCAGATTACCTCTCAGCATCTAAGCCTTATTCAAAGCGTCACTGTGGCTCCTCTAAATACGACAGCTAACGGTTCACCCCCTGCGTATTCTAGTGGAAACGGGGGTGGTGCGACCGCTCCTTTTACAACAGCGCCACCTATTGATAATGGTGTTAATGTCACGGCGACTCCAGCGATTCAAGGTGGCCAAAACTACATGCAGCAATTGACGCAAGAAATTGAAAAAGAAAGGTTTGTTTTAATGTACATTGCTCGAATTGAACTTTATTTTGCTACCAACATTTTGTTGATTTTAGCTCTTTGTACAATGCTTCCATTTTTCATTCATCTATGATGTGTGAACAAGCAAGGATTTTCCCAGGGAAGAAGGAAGATGATCATATGGCGCATCCCGGAGTGTCACATTTGCCACATGGTTCTACATCAGTGGGGGGCAAGGTTTTCAGACGAGGGGCCAAAAATTTTGCCCCGTTAGACTGCTGGGCCATGTAAGTGTGACGTAAAAAGTTACATTTTATGAACAAAATTTACAGTGTTACGATAGCAAAAGAGGAAAACAATACGCCTTCAATCGCAATCTCAACAAATTCCTTGGTCCATTTTTTTGCTAAAACATCAAAATTTGGTTATGGCAGCATCAGGCAAGCCAGATTGAATTACCCAACGCGCTGGATTTGACACGCTGGTCGTGGTTACAACTACTGATATGAGGGAAGCTAATATGTATTTTGGAGAATCGGAATATTACTAGTGAAAGTTTCTTCAACTCTTGTAACTTTTATTTATTTACCAGGGTTGAATACCAGGCTAAAAGTCGCCACATTGAGCAACAACTCGCTGCTTTGAAGTCAGAAATAGAAGATTTAAAAGTCGATGAAAAAATGACAACGTTCGATCACCTCCATACAGAGAGTTCTTTAAAAGGAGGGTCGAAGTATTCAACTCTAAATAAGGTAGGTTACTTGCATATAAATATTTCTTTAAAAGGAGGGTCAATTTGTAGAATTCTCTGGAAGGAGGTGTCAATTCGTAATAAGGTTGTTCACATACGTAAAGAATTCTTTAAAAGGAGTCAAAGCGTTCTATTTTAAATTAGATAGGGACGTGCATCTTGGATTTCACTGAAAAGGAACTCAGTGTATGTAATTCTCTATAATGAGGGCCAACTAATAATAAAGCAGGTCACCTGCATACAGAAGTGATTTGTGGTTTAAAAAATAATTTAAAACGAAGGTTCAAGTACCTAACTCTTTAGTACGCTGCATACTGAGATTTCTGTGAAATGAGTGAAAAATAGAAAGTTCTTTAAAAGGGGGGTCAAAGTAATCACTTATGTTGAATCCTTTGAAACGGGGTGTCAATTCGTAATAATGTTGTTCACGTACATAAAGAAGTCTAAAAGGAGTGTCAGAGTGTTCAACTCTAAAGTTCGTGACCTTGGATTTCACTGAAAAGAGAATTATCAACTCTCTGAAATCAGGGTCAACTATTCATAAAGTAGGTCACTTGCATATAGAGTTGTTTGAAAGGAAGATTAAATGGCACTCCCGAAGTATGTGCACCAAGATGGTGCACAACCTGAATCCTAACCTGGTACACATACTTCTGGAGCTCCGATTAAAGTTCCCAACCCTTGAGTACGAAGTGTCCTGCATAGCGAGATTTCTGCCAAAAGGGTGAAAAAAAAGAAAATTCTTCAAAAGAGGGATCATGTTTCGACTTTCAATAAGAAAGGCCTCTGTATGCGTAACCTTCTCTCAAAGGATGGTCTTACAGAGATTCTATTGAAAGCAGGACTAATTGTAGAATTCTTCAGAAGGAGGATCAAGTATAGTCATTTTCTTAAAAGTCTGGCCAAAGTACCAATCCCGAATAAATTAGGTCTAAAGAATATAAGTTACAATATACATTTCTTGATTATTATTCCCAGTTTTCACAAATATTTTTCTGTTTTTACAGTCGCAAGAAGCCACACCGCAGCAGAGAGTCCAACTCTATGATGGATTGTAACATAAATTACATACAATCATTTTTCTTCCATTATTTTTGCCTCAAAAATGAATACGATATGAGGCATTAGGGTCTCTAGCATTTCTATAACTAGCATTGTTTCTTGAAGTTTAAAGTCCCAAACCAGACCGGCAACATTCTGTTTTGCGCATATAGTAAATTTTTCCCACATAGAGTAAATTCTTTTTACAATGGGAGTGGCCAAGGAATGAAAAAATATTTGAAATATGTTGAGAATAGATGCCATCCCAGATTGTTCTAATTGAGTTGTTTGAGTATTTTAATATAACCAGTAGTCCAGTATGGCTTCAGTAAATATAGTTCATCGGTGGATATAGCAGAAGTGCAAAATTTTTAATTTCCGATATTTCAACCTTATATACCTTTGAGCGACGCAGTTTTGGCCTTGGTTGAAATTTAGATAAATTATGTGCTACCAACTCAGATGATATGGTTGTTCTAGTTAGTTATTTAATTTGGAAATAATTTATTCCAGGCATATAATCTTCCATATAGATTGACAAATAAAAAGGCACTACAGACAATAAAGAAAGACAAGTAAATAATCCCTTGACCCCAAGGGCGAATATGAAATTGAATCAAATCTCCAAGCTAATTATCACTGACGATTAGTTGATGACAAGTTGAGCCCTTCTTTTTAGATAACTTTGATCACCTCGAGTGGTTGCTATATGATTACTTGAGTTCAAGTCGTGTTAACTCATGCTGACCCCTCCCCCCCCCCACCCCAGCATATAAACGACGGCCACACATACAAGACAAACAGTCTTACGAAATAATCCTAAGAACAGTCTTCTCTAGTCAGAAACTAAATTCCCTATAATAACTCAGAAGTATTCATTTTTGAGGCATTATTTTTCGCTTTTTCTCGCACATTTTATCTTTTTTGCATTTTCATTCAAAATGCTGTGTATTATCTTTTCTCTTGTCAACATGGTTTGATTTTAAAATATTATCTATAATGATTATTATTTTACACTGTTAATTATCAAATTTTAACGAGCTTCTCTAATTAAGGTATAATATGTTTAAAAATTCAACTCATGGTGCTATCAGGGCTATGTTTATTCAAACATATTAAGTACTGAAGGTGCAGAGTTTGAAGAAATTGTTTTTCAGGGCTGCCCATACTGAGAGTCGTGACTCCGCTTTGGGTCGTAAAGAATAAGCCAATTTCACACGGAGTACCATTTTAGACTTTTGATTCGAAACACAATTATTAAAACTAGTGCGAAACATAAATCTCACGATTTCTAGAGAATACATAGGATCAGAGAAGCGACTCGTCTTAACAGGGAAAATTTTGAATATATTGGAAGGTGTTGCGAGCTTAAAAGTTTAAGGAAGTCCTGTTGTAATTGATATTTTTAACTCAATGACCATCGAAATTTACATCAAAGCCAAACCCATAAAGCCTTAGAGCAGGGGTCGATATTCTTTACAGAATTTATTGTGAGACATGTGCAGACAAAATTATTTTATAACCTAACCTAAGTATATAATTCACAATTACTCGTTTAACCCTTTCCATGCGATTTTTATTTTTTAATAAATAATCGTATTTGCTACGCCGATTTTATGCATTTGTACCCCCACAACTAATCGATCGACTAACGAAAAACCGGATAGAAAAAAGGTTAAACCGTGATAAAAAATAGAAATATTCGCTAAATCCTTTACTGTTACCGCTTCGTGGTTGGCAAACAATAGCATAATATTGATGTAGCAATTTCGTGATCTAACTCACAATATTTTGGTAGATGGAAGGGATAATATGTCTTCTATTACCACCCAAAAAACACCGAAATTTGCATAAATTTCAAAAACACTCCCTCGTTCCGCCGCAAATAAAATTCCCGTTGTAAACGAAAGCGAGATTTACCGTCGCTTATGTTAATCTCGAAGAAGACTTCTTATCAATAAACTAAAACCCGGAAAAACTAGACCAACAGTTTGCGACCGATTGCTAAATAAAACAGTGAAGTACATCAACGTACCCGCCGCAATCTAGCGACTTTTGTCGTGGGTACGTATACGTGCCCACCGCACGGAAAGGGTTAATGAGCCTATAATTTAAATATAATTAGGCATTCAATGGCAACAAAACGCAGAAGAGTTGATGCTAAGTGCAAATGGTTCATTGGTGCAGAAAATATTCTAATTGTTCGTCTTCGCGCGCTGCTCAAAATTTAACTTCTGGTGTGTGTGGAAAAGTGTGATTCATCGGCCATCCGTTCGTTTATTAACTTCCTAAAAATATGTGCGGCCCGCCAATGACTTGCAACCTTTAATTTTGTCGCGACGATAAAAGGTTGCCGACCCCTGCCTTAGAGTATACAAGCTTCTTTAAATAAGTCATATCGATTAAAATTCAACTAAGGGTGCTATCAGGTTTATTTTTGTTCAAACATTAATTACTGAAACTGCTCAATTTTTTTGGAACTTGTATTCGATATTTTTAACTCTACCTTGGATATTGGCAAACCTATAAAGTGGTTGCTAAATTTTTTAAGCCGTGCCCCCTCTTTAGCACTTGTCAAGTCTAGCGCCCCACCGTAAAAATAACTAGCTAACAATATTTTATAAATAACGGATAGTAAGGCGAAAAAATGTTTTATTAAAAAAATACGTGGATAGAACGAGAATAATGAAATAAATTTTAAAAACGCGCAAGATTTGCAATCAAACCTAACAAACATATTTATTTTTAATCAGCCTAAGTCCTCTCAAAAAATGTTGTGTAATGGAACACAGTCATTTTTGTTGAAAATATAGAAAGTACTCCATGTACCCTCCATTTGGAGCAATCTGATCTGAAATAGATAGGAAATTGAATGATAACTGATAATGGTGCCAGTATTTATGCCCATATTTTTTAGGATTTCTGAAAAGTTTTTTTTTCTTATCCCCATTTCAATGTACTTCATATTAATTTAAAATTGTCATAATACAATATAGCAACTAATACAGGGATGTCTGAAACGTAATATATTTTACTATTTTGAAAAAATATTTTTGGATATGAAATATCGAATACATTCTAAACTGGGAGTACATTCATATGAAAAATTACGTAAATCACATCTAAAATGACATGAATATAATGAAATGTCATTGTTTTCTCTCTATTGTTTCTTACCAGTTGAGATTTCATGTCATAAGTTTTGAGTTACTTGTCTCAAAACGGCTCAAAATTTTCAAATTAAAGTTTTCTAAATTATTCCTAAATCAAAAATAAACCATATCGAATATAATAAATTTCAAATGTTTTCAAATCTTCAATGAACTAGTATAATTGCTCGTAACTAGTATTTGTGCTCACTTATTCCCATAAAAGTATTTGCACAGGAACGAGGACTATTTCTATCTCATTATCTTGGAAAATGTACTTAAAAAGGGCGGGCCTAAAAGTAGGATAGCAGTTTTTAAATCTAGCCCACTTTATAGCCTATGGGCTATTATCACGAATGCAGAAATATTAATTACCCATAAATGATAGTCTATATTTTGCCTCAAAATATTACTTTTTCACCTGGATTAAATGAAGTTACAGAACATAATCTTAAAAAGGGATTTTTCTCAATCCAGACTTTTCATCCGCCATTTGTAATTCGTGGTTGAACAAAACAAACCTTGTCCTTAAACATTGGAAATTTTTTTTCATACATGGGGAGATAAAAAGCACACCCTAATATACAGAATAAGAAATAATACCATGTACTTTGTTCTTCATATATTGGAATATTCCAATCATTTTTTCCTCAAATCCTGTTTTCGGGTCTAAACTTAACTACTTTGGAATAATGATATACGATATGGAATAACTATGAATAATATTTAATGTCCGTATATTTGAAAATTTCTATCTTCATATATTGGTGTAATTCCATCCAAAAAAATTGTTCTTTTTCCAATTCCTGTTTTTGGGGTCTAAACTACTTTGAAATAATTATTTCTGGTATGAAATAATGACTATTACTCGCACCGGTATTTGTGTTCATATATTTGAGTATTTTTATCTTATTAATCTTTGCGGTGCCATTTCCACATTTTTAGTGTTTTATATCATTAGCAATTGATAATGTGTGGTTAAAATCATTGTGTTTGAAGAATCATCATATTATATATTTTTAAAAACTTCATCTTCAATTTTTTTCACCTATTACCGAATAATTTTAACTTTAATTATAATTTTTATCACTCTTGTTTGGCTTATGTCTGGCTACACAATTTTGTGCTCTTTCTCGGTACTATTGCTTATTTCTGTAATGTTGTTACTTATCGATTTTAATCGGTAAGGTATTTGTCTGTCTGTCTGTTAGATGCACGCGATATTTCACGAAAGCGAGATTGAATCTGCTCCAGATTTTGCATGTGCATTCATCATATCTCGGACCAGAATGCATTGATAAAAATGAATGGCCCTCATAAACAAAATACTTTTATTAGTGAGTATGAGTACTGAGTATTAAGGTTCGAAAAGGTCCGTTTTTTTCTATCTCTGATAATAGTTTCTTGGACGAACATAACAAGATTTAACCTAGCTTATATTGAAGATTAATTCTTTTCGATATCATTTTGTTTTGGGAATCTGGCAAGCCAATTCAGTTGTCTTATGCTAATCATCATTAGAAGGTGTAATATGGGCTCACAATTCTGCGGGATATGTTAAAATATTTGATGGTGAAATTATCAGTTAATAACTAATCATTCTGTGGTACTTGGTACGTCGGTACTTGGTACGTCGTTTTACGTTGCACAATACGTATCACAAGAAATGAATAATAAATATATCATTTTTAATATAACCTTGGTAACCAACCTCGTTATCACCCTGACCTTACTGAGATCATAAGAGTTGAATAATAAACATACCATTTCTGCTATAGTCTTAGTACCTGTATTCACATAATTACCCCAAATTTCACCCCCTAAATTTCCATCCATCTGAGTACAATTCTTACATACAGGAATAATAATAATAAATATAGCATTCCTGATATAGTCTTAGTATTCAATTCCTCTTAATTGCCCTAGCCCTACTATCATAAATTACCATCATCATTTTAATTTTTCACAATTTTCCAATTAATCATCTGATGATAAATAAAACATTTGTTATGTAGTTTTTACATATGGAATATTTTCAACTCTCATAATTACCCAAACTGTCATATGTTTCTATTAGCCACAATACACTTGCGATTTTCTGGATCATTTTGAAACCAATAATGAATAAGTCTCCCATTACCAGAATTTATTGAGGCAAATCTGTCACTTTGAATAAATAGTAATAAAATATCTTGAAGTCAAAATAGAAATTTTGACTCTTGAAAACTCATTGGCCTTGTTTTTATGGTACTCCCGGAGTATGTGAACCAAGATGGTAGACACCCGAACATAGTATGTGTACCATGTTAGGGTTAGGCCATAATTTTACTCCATTTTTCCTTATTTTAGTTCTGTTACGAGTTCAGGTACTAACCAAGTGACTCCCGTAGTATTTGTACCTATTATGGCCTAACTCTAACCTGGTACACATACTACGTTCCGGTGTCCGTCATCTTAGTTCACATACTTCGGCAGTAGCGTTTTTATTATTTGTGGCCGGCACTTAGCTGCATCTGCAGGCTCACTTTTATTTTCTATAAAATCGTTTATTCTTTTTTCTTGCCCCATTGTGTCAAAGGTCATGTCAAGTGTCAAGGCATATATTACTTTTATTTGTTCAATAAATGTAAAAATTGAAATTGTTATCTTTTATTTATCGCTGTTTTTGGAGATTTACTCAATGATTTATCAACAGCTATACAGTAGAAACAATTCGTTCTGGAAGCGCCTAGAAAATTCCGTAAGGACGTATTTTACATGTTAATGTCCTAATCCGTTCCAAGCCCACACAAAACTAGGATATATTTTATGTATAAATTATAATAATAGTTAAAACCCGTAACAAATATAGGTTAGAATTAGATTACTGCATAAATAGAACACGTACACGTGGAAAGAACACAGAAATAACGAATAAAAATTACGAACGGTATGTTAATGTACCTTTGTAAAACGTGTTTTAATTTTGAGTCTGCGCTGATTCAAATATTTCGTGTCGGCTGTTATGATTTTATGTTTGTTTATGATTTAAAACCGCCAACTTAAACTGAACGACATTGTCATTAACGACGTCGGCATGACGATAAAATCCGCGACTTCTCAGTCACATTGATGAACATATGTGTACGTTG